GTATTATCTTCCTTCTCCCGTTCCAGGACCTAATACAGTGTTTCATATATAGTAGGTATAAAAGGGTATGGTAGCCATGAAGACGTGACACTCAGGTCTCCTTTCAAGAAATAACTTGCCATTCAGCTGCAAGGAGTGTAGTAGTGTAGTTAGTGAACAGCCCTCAGCTGCAGTACCTTTGAGATCTACTTCAGCCTTTAAATCAAAGCCACATCTTTCCTTGGGAGCCCCCAACCAAACACTGAGCATGGGAGAAGTACCAGAGCCTGGCCAGTTCTGCCCAGTGCAGGACTCCTCTAACGGGAAATCTCAGCTCTGGAGGAGCTCCTCATTAAGTTGGTTGAGACTTTGTTGGATCTTCATTGTGATCTGAGGCTCTTTTTACCTTCTCCTGTTTCCTCTGCCTTTATCTTTCACAGGCATTACCCCCTAAGACATGTCTTGCATTTCTCACTCCATTTTAGCATCTGCTTCCCATAAGACTCAATGGATATAGGGAGGTGCTCATCAAATTCAACCTGATTACATAAGAAAATATCTATTTGAGAAGATAAAGCTTTGGTTGATGCTATAGACTGAATGCTTGTGTTCCCCCAACCCCCCCAAAAAACTCCTATGTTGAAACTGAATCCCCATTGTGATGCTATTTGAAAAGAGGGCCTTGAGAGGTGATTAGGTCATAAGGGTGGAGTCCTTATGAATGAGATTAGCTCCCCACCTGCTTTTCCCAATCCCTCAGGTATGTTTCTAAAGAACATTTACCTTGCAGCTTAAAGTGGCTATCATTCCAGAATTTGCAATTCCTCCAAATATTAGCTGTTGTGGAAACTCATGGTGGGCCTTAAACCTCCCTTATTCTATCTTTGATTTGACAAATGGAAGGAAATGACACAAATAAACCAGAAGAGAAGAGCCTAGGATCTGAAGGCCTATAGACTTTGGTTCAAACCCTGTTTCCCCACTTACTACCTGTGAAGCTTTGGCTGCATAGACTGTGTTCTCTGTCCTCCACTGCCCATTTAGAAAAAGGGGGCTCCCGATATATCATACTGATTTATTTTTCAGCTCATAGCAGACAACATGAAGAAGAGGAAGAACGAAAAAGAGGAAAAGGAAGGGAGGATGAGAAGAATGGCCAATCTGGGGTACCAATGTGATTTTGAACCAGGCAACAAACTAGAAATTCAACCTGGAGAACTGGACTTCCATTGAACCAAATGATCCCGTGTTCCTCTTGGACTGGCATTTGTTTGCTGAATACCTCCATGTTCCTATCCCATGCTAGCCTCTCTGTTGGTGCAGCTCTGAAAACACTGTAAGAATACCATCCGTTCTATGAGGGCTGGGAGGGTGGCTGTATCCATGTCTGAAGGCATGAGGTAGGTCTTCAGTAATCATTTGGTGAATGAATGAATTTGAATGAATGAATGAGCATGTGAAGCTTTCACTAGCCATGAAACAGCCTTTAGTCCTTTGTCAACAACAGCATAGGAATTAGGGATCTTTGGAAGCCTTGCTTCTTACAAAATCCACATCTCAGCCACAAAGTAGGAGGCCTGGGAGTTATTAGAGAGCCTCTTGTTTGTTTGTTTTGCAAATGAAAATCAGAGTTGAGGACGTGCACTGCAGCCAGCTGCAGGGTTCTGAGTTAACCCCTTTAGTGTCACAGAGCCAGTGGCTTCTTTTCAGAACTACATTTTGAGGGAGATGAGCCTGAAGTAGCGGGAGGAGAGGGTGCTCTATTGAATGGAGTCCCAGCTCCAGGTTGAAAGTTCTGGAGACCTGGTTGTGCTTCTAAAGAGCTCTGGGAGCTTCAGAAAAATCTCTTGATTTCTCTTCATGTTTGTTTCTCTGCCTAAAAGTTATGGGATTAAGCCAGTTAAGCTCCAGGCACCTCTGAATTCTACTATCCCAACACCAAAATCAGTTTGTGCCTGGAGTGAAATGTTTCTTGGCTCTGTTGGAGTGGGAGAGGGCACCTATGAGCCTGTCTGTGGAGTCTATGCCACATCACAAGAGGCGTTTTCCCCTCTACATCTAATAATAATCTTGATAATTATGATAATAGTAATAACTATTCATTGAATGTGTACTGTGTGCTAGGTACTCTTTCAAAACTTTATGTGGGTCCTATTTTAATCCTCACTATAACTCTGTGAGGTAGATGCTAATATAATCCCCATTTTACTGATGAGAAAATTGAGAAACAGAAAGATTCAATGTCTCACCCAAGGCTTTGGGTAAGTGGTGGAGCTTGGATTCAAACCTACGAGATTGGTGCAGGATCCTTTATTCTCTACCCTTTGGGTTCTCCCACACTGCCTATGTCTACTCAGAACTGTCTTAAGCTTTCAGAGAAAGAGGAAGGCAGTGAGAAGAAGCAGTGAGCCACAGGCATAGTGAGAAGGCATAGAGAGCAACCAAACCCTGGCTCCAGCCCTAAGTATCCCTGGGACTTGGGGAAGTTCTTCTGCCCTGAGGTCTCAGTTTCTCCATCTGTGAGTTGAAGTAGTCACCCATGGGAACATCCAGGGGCGTCCCCAAGCTGATCAGTAAATAAGAGAATCTTACACCAGAACTCAGAGAAGAGCTCCCAAGACTACATAAAATCCAAGGAATTGTATGAAAAGTGTTGTGTGTGGGCATTTAGCTATGGGGGCAGGAGGTTCATGGCTCCTATTAGTTTTTTGAAGTGCACACACCAGGGATCTACAATACAACAGCATTGTCAGTGTAGACTCTCAGCAGCTAACACACCAGAGGCAGGTCACTCCTGTGATCATGGTGTCAGGGTTCAACATCTGGCTGTTAAAAAGAAAAAAAGTCAAATACTTGACTTCATTTCATTATCTTCCAACATCTAGAAATTTCCAGAGTAGAAAGCAATAACTTGGCACCCTCAGGCTCAAAATCTCTCTCTTCACGCACAGCCCGTCTTCTTTCTCCAAGAAGGAAAGTCTCTCTTGCACTTAATACCCTTCAGAATAAGCCAGAAATATGCAGTCACCTGCAAGAATTTCCAGGCAGACCCAACAGAGAAGTGTCATATGGACAAGGTGTGTGAATACAGAGCCTGCAAAAATGACCAGGACTTAGCATGCCCTCAGCCAAATGCTTTGGTGCAGAAACCTTCTGCGTGTGTATCTGTATGTGTGTGTGTATGTGTGTATGTGTGTGTGTGCATGCGCATGCGCCTGTGTGTGTGTGCATGCAGTGAGAGAAGGCAATAGGCTGCTGCAGTAAATACACCAGATGGAAAGACAGTCAGATATGGGTGGGAATCCCAGTTCCTCTCCTTATCAGCTCAGTCATTTCAGATGAGCTCCTAACCTCTCTGAGCCTCAGTTTCCTCCCCTGTAAAATTCCAGCAATTTCACAGTGCTGCTCTGAGGACTTAATACAATAACTCATGTAGTGAAGAATTCATGTATTGCAGCTGCCCCATGAGCAGAAGTAGCTCAACATATGGGAGTCCAGATGCCTGGGTGACCTTGGACAATTCTTTCTTTTATTTTTTTTCCTCCCTCCTGAGCCTTAATTTCTTCATCTGTAAAATAGAAGTGAAGTGACAGAGAAGGTTGATGTGTTAAGCTTTCTTTTAGTTATGGAGCTTTGGGTTTTTTTCCCACCCCCAAATAAAATCTCATGGGGAAACCCAATGCATATAACCATGAGAAACAGTGGCTCAGGTTCAAGGAGAAACAGCAGACTCCAGCGGACTGAACCTGTCTTAACCACCCTCGTGCTGGTGAACCTCACAGGTGTTGGGCTGCTGTGGAAAACCAGCATGCCATTTCAGTATTTCCCAGTTTTTCTTAATCTGTGCAGCAAACCCATACTTGCCATGGTTATGTACTACTTCCATTATTTATCTACTTAATATTTTTCTCAACTCAATTGCTTATCAATTGCTCAAATTTAATTTAATGAAAAGGAAGCCACATGTCATGACATCAGGGGAAGACCAGTATCTATTTTCATAAATAGAAGGTCATGTGAATCAAGAGTATAAGGAATACTGGATTTATTTAACCTGCTGAAGTTTGACTCCCAGGGATGTCATCTCTCTTTCTTAAAAAGGAGGATTCACAAGGGGGTAAGAAAGCGTTCAAGGTCCCTAGCACCCAGCTAAGGCGTTTTCCTTAATAAGCAGGATGGAATGAGAAGAGAAGGAACTCAGCACTGAGCGTTTCTCCAGCTGTGTTGCTCCAGGATGCTTTTAATTGGCTTCCACATGTGGCATTGTTGAGAAGCACTCTATGATCACTGTAGCAAATTTAATGGTGTCTCCTGAATACCTAAGTCCAAGTCCTAACATCCCCCACCACACAACTGTGAATGCGGCTTTATTTGGAAATAGGGTCTTTGCAGATGTAAGAATCTTAGGATGAGATCATCCTTAATTTAGGGTGAACCCTAAGCCCAAGGACAAGTGTCCCTATCAGAGAAAGGAAAGGGAGATTTGATACACATTGAGAAAGCCATATGAACATGGGAGCAGAGATTGGAGTGATGCAGCCAAGAATGCCTGGGGCCATCAGAAGCTGGAAGAAGCAAGGAAGGATTCCTCCCTGGAGCCTTCAGAGGGAGCGAGGCTTTGATGACACCTTGATTCTAGACTTCTGGCCTCTAGGACTATGGAAGAATACATTTCTCTCATTTTAAGCCACCTGTTTGTGGTCATTAGTGGGGGGCAGCCCTAGGAGATGAATGCAATCACCAAATCTGTTCCCAATGTAGCATTCATCAACCTAATCCCGTATTTTTTCCTCTACATCCTCCTTTACCAGAGATCAGGAGTTGCCATTTCAGAAGAAGCTCCCTCTTCCCATAAGAGATCTCCCTTCCCCTTGCAAAGAAGTGCCATTGGTTTGTCCTCAGAAGCAGGGAAGGTAAAGACATTGAATAGGCCTGGCCAGAAGACGCTTCTGTGTTCTCAGAACTCACTGTCTTGGAAATCTATCATCTCCCATCCTCCCTCCCTTTACTCCCAGTCCTACCTGAAAGATCCATAGAGAGAGGAAGGACGAGTCTTCGTCTTGGGGAACCAAAGTGTAACTTTGGGTCACTACTTAAGAAAAAAAAAAAAGAAGCCTCATGAATAAACCATGTTTTGCAGTTTTTTAAAAGCCATAATTCCAGAGCGAATCAATGGTTGGAACTTCCCAGCTTAATGCGAGCCAGATTCCTGCCTCTTCACCCTGTTTCCCTCTCTCTGACTCTCCCTCTCTTTTCCTTGTACCAAAAGCTGTCTGCTAAACTTCTAAAACACCCTTTGCCTTTTTGACCCTTCAACTTGTCTTGAACTTCAGAAAAAATTGGGGAAATGGCACTGAGTGAACTATATATAAGTCCTGGGCGTGTAAGGAGGAGGGGGGACAGGGGGCCACGCGGGGGAGAGGGCTCACCATGAACTTGGGGCCTCGGATATTCGCTTGGGAAAAAAAAAATTCCAACTCTCTTCTGTTAATGGAATTAGTAAATATTTGTTGCTCTGTTCTAGGCCGGTGCCCCAGGGGGATATCTGGAGGAAGGGAAAAAAAGAAGGCAAATAAAAATAAAAGACAAGCTACTTTTCTGCTCCTTTTCCCTCTCCAAAGACACTAAACAGACAAGCTGCAGGATTAGAATGAGGCCTTGTGTGGCTGCTGCGAGCAGGAAGTTGTGAGGGGGCTTTGCAGCAGGGAGGGGGCCATGGTGGGGAAGAAGCAGGCCTGCTATCTGGTAATGGGAACGCCATTCCTGCCTAATGAAATGATTGCTGGCGGAGTTCCTGAGTTACAGCGCAGCCTGCACAGCCCCTGGCTGGCTTCCTGGAGCCCAGAGACCCTGGGCTGGGGCCGGGCTTGATGTTCAAAGAGCGTGCAATGAGGCAGGGAGAGAATAAGAAAGTGACAGAGAGGGAGCTGGTGACAGGGATGAGAGACAGAGAAGTGGAGCAGGGGAATCAGAGATCAATGGCTAGATGGAGAGAAAATGATAGAAACAGTGGCAGATGCGCGGCCAGCGAGATACAGAGAAAACAACGGATGGCGGCAGACAGAGGAAGAGACTCGACAAAGAGCCTCTGTTAGGCCCAGGGAGATGGATGGGAGAGAATCAGAATGGAGGACCCAGCTAGGCTGAGGCTGAGAGATGGATGGACAGGAAGAGACCTGGACACGGAGGGAGAGAGAAGCGGAGATGAGAAAAACAAAGACGTGGAGAGACAGAAAGATGGGGCAAGGCAGAAACCCTGACGTCAGAAGGAAGTGAAGAAGAGGAAGGAGTCAGGCAGTGGGAGAGACAGACATGGAGACAGGGTTTAGAGGAACAGGAAGGAATAAAGATTCAGAGAAAAGAGACAGGAGGTCCAGAGAGCAAGGCAGTACCTTGCTGCACACGGACAGTTCAGTGCAAATGGATCTTTGTAAGATTCCATTGCCTTGAAAGGAAGTGAGGTCCTAATAGACTTTGATTATAAAATAAAGAACATGTTCAAATAGGACAAAATAAGGAAGGGGCAGGAAAGGAGAGTAAAAGTCCTTCCCTATTGTCCTGCTGCAATCATTCTCTGACTTCTTCAACTTTTAACAGATTTTACAATAAATGCGTGGATGGCCTGGAACATTTTCCCCTCATGTACATTGTTTCCGGCCGTCTAAGGAGCCTCCAAAGAAGATGTTATGACTTCTACTCTTTTTTAATTGAAGAAGCTGAGAATCAGGGAGGTGACATTACTTACAACGTAATACAGAGAGGAAGGGGCTGCAGTTGGGGCTCTAGTGTGGGTGAACAAAAATAATATAAATGCTGGAAAAGGGGAAAGGTTGGAGGTTAAGTGTTCTGAGGACCTCGTTTTGCTCAGGAAGGGCTATACGAATTATTACGTTGATTACAGTGATTAAGCATAAGCATGGTAAGAATCAAATGTGCCTATTTAGACAATAGAAATAGAACCAATAACTTCTGAAAAAAAGAGAGAAGAAAAGGTGGGTGGGGAGGGAAAGGTAAAAATAAAATTTTATCCACCTAATACAAAAGAGAAAAGGAGGAAGAAAAAAGCAAAGACAAAAAGAAAAAAAGATGAAAATGTGATTAAGTAAAAATTGCTAATGAAAATGCAAAATGACACAGCCATTTTGGAAGACAGTGTGGCAGTTTATTACAAAACTAAACATTGTCTTACCATATGATTCAGCGACCACACTCCTTGGTATTTATCTAAAGGAGATGAAATCTTATGTGCACACAAAAACCTGCACACAGATGTTTACAGCAGCTTTATTCACAAATGCCAAAAGTTGAAAGCAACCAAGATGTTCCTCAGTAGATGAATGAATAAATAAAGCATCGTACATCCAGACAATGGAATACAGGGTTATTCAGCACTGCAAGGAAATGAGCTTCCAAGTCATGAAAAGACATGGAGGAAATTTAAATGCATATTATTAAGTGAAAGAAGTCAATTGAAAAGGCTCACACTGTATGATTCCAACTATATGACATTCTGAAAAAGGCAAAACTATGGCGACAGTAAAAAGATCAGTGGTTGTTAAGAGTTAAGGAGGGAGGAATGAAGAGGCAGAGCACAGAGGATTTTTAGGGCAATGAAACTGTTTTGTGTTATACTATAATGGTGGGCACATGTCATTATACATTTATTGAAACCTACAGTGAACTCTAATGTTCACTCTTGCTGTTGTACATTCTGTAGGTTTTGCAATTGGAAGATAATGATGTGTCAATGTGGGTTCACCAATGGTAGCAAAGGTAGCGCTGTGGTGGTGGGAGGGGATGCTGATGATGGAGGAGGCTGTGCATGTGGGGGCAGAGGGTGTTGGGATATTCCTCTGTCTTTTCCTCAATTTTCCTGGGGACCTAGAACTGCTTTAAAAATAAATACAGTCTTAAAAAATAAATGTAATTGAAACCTCGTAATCAGAAGGTAGAGATAAATTCACACTAGTCTGGAATCCCATTAATCATAATGGGATTAAACTCTTCAGTTAAAAGACAGAGAATTGGGAATGATATTTTAGATCAACAATGTGCTTTTCCTGAGGGATACATAAATTAACAGAACGTTGAAAATTAAAGATCAAAAAAAGATTCTAAATAAATATGAATCAAAAGGAAGCTGGTTTTGTAATATGAATATCAGAAAAAATAAAGTTTGTGGTAACCCAGCTTTCTATGATATCTAACTATGGGCTCTCGCTCTTGGCACCCAGGGCCAGGCCTCTGTGATCAGACGTCCAGGGCATTGCAGGTGGGGTTGTGAACTCAGATTTCATAACTAGTTTTTCATGAGACACACATTGGGCAACCACTCTCTCTTACCCCTTGCCTTTTGGTTTCCCACCCTGCGCTATGAGACCTATTTTCTGGTAATGACACATCACTGGAGAGGGAATGCAAGTAAACCACCTTGTGAAATGGTGAGTCACAGAGGCAACAGAAAGAATCAGACACTAGGGAGAGAAGTGGGGGAGAATGGGTTTGAGGGGTGCAGACCAGCTTCCTCCTAGAAGGCTGCTTTTCATTGCAGTGAAACATACCACACTTTCTTATGTCTTCTCCTCCCATGATGTCATCTTATTTCCTCAATCTGGAAATGTCCAGGTTGCCCTTGAGTATGGGTAACAGTTTTCTGTTTCCTATTTGTATTAAGAAGGCAAGAGCTGAGTTTCTTGGAAAACCTAAGTATGTGTGGGTTCTTGTGATGTATTTAACCAAGAACCAAGTAATTGCCAAATATCAACCTTTTGCCCCTTCATTGTGCTGAGGCAGAATAGAGCATTGAGAAGAAGATAGGATGCATTGAGAAGAAGATAGGATGGTGGGAGTGGAGGGGGATGGCCATAAAACAGATAGCTGTCAATTGCTAATGCCTTCGACCGTAACTGCATCCCAGTAACACTACACAGTTCCTCGCTCTTCTGTGGCTTTGCACATGCATCTCCCACTACCTGACATGTTTTCCTTGCCCCATGTCCCCCACTCCCTTTAGCTCTTTCTATTACCCATTTTTCATGCCAGAAAGCCTATCCTGAGTATGAATTAAAAGCCCCTTGTCTCAGTGCTCTGTACTTATTTATGTTAAAATACTTATCACTCAACATTGTAATGACCCATGAACTTCTCTCTCCCTCTCCACTCCCTTTTTCCCAAAAGTTACAAAAATCTAAAAGGAAGAAAAAACATCTCTTTTTCCTTTTATCCCTCTGCTCTGCATCTGGCTAGGTACACAGTTCGACAAGAGCCTGACATGTGAGGGGGATGAATGATGGAAAGTCTCCAGTCGAGGACCTTTGCTACCTTGAACTGCAGCATCAAGAACTACACCTTAACCCATCCACAGAGACTCTGATCTTTCCACAGATTTGATTTGCAGAAACATGAAACAACAAAGTTAGAAGGCACCTTAAGAGAAGCTCTTTTCCCTCTGGTGTGTAAATGAATTCTAAATACCTCCACTTTACATCAACAGGGCAATCCCACTCTGACCAGCTTCATTTGAAGAAATGGCCCATGATTTTTTAACAAATAAAATTGTTAAGCTACCGTCCATCTGATCAAGCCCTCATTTTACAGAATGGACCTCCAAGGCCCAGAGAGAAGGGAGGAACAGGTTCAGTGTTGCATCTTGCAGCTATATCTCATCCCTACATTTACCAGGTGTAAAATCTTGACCAACTGACTTCACCTCTTTAAACCCCTTTATTTATCTGTAAAATGGGGGAAGAGTGAACCTATCTCATAAGGGGTTGTTGAGAGTTTCAGTTGGGTAAGTTAAGCCATGTCAAGGGTATAGACATTCAATGAATGTCGATGATGATGATGATGATGGTGATGGGTGTTGTTGTTATGCCCTATTATTCTCTCTCCATCCAGTACTCTTTCTACTCTACACAGCTAGCTCTGAAACATAATATAATATGCCAGTGACCCAGCCAGAGTTTGAAGAAATGAAACACAAACCACCCAGCAGCCTCGTTCTTCAGCTACAGTTACCCCATTAACAGCAGAACAGTCTCAACAATCTGGATTTTCATCTCCTGGCAGCCAAGCCTCAGACAAGGGGCTCTTAAGATACCAAATTTCTCTAGAAGGAAAGATTAGGAGGAAGTTCTCACAGCCCAGTATTGAGGAACTGAGCTCCCTTTTCTCAGCTTGGTTTTTCCTCCCTGCCTAGTGTCTTTCTCCTGAAGCTGACTTGTTGTGGAAGCTCTCATTCTGTAATGAGGGGCTGCAGTGGCATGAGAAGCTTCCAGTTTCCCCTGCCCACCTGGAGAAAAAGGTGAGGCTGGGTTGGTTGCAAAGAGCCTGAAAAGTGCCTTGGTACAAGGCCTTACTCTCCCCAGCTTCTGGGAGTGTTGCCAGCTGAATGCTTTCTGCTTCCAGCCCTCTTTAGGTATTGCCCTCAACTGAAAAGATCCCCCCTTGCTCAATATTACATCTTCCTCCAAGGACAACCCACATCCAAAGATTGGTGTGGCAAGAGAATTAAGGCATATCACCCTGTCCCCAACGGAAGGGCCATCCCATTTTCAGAACCCCCATGGGGTCGGTTGAACCTTTGCTGAGACTGCATCACAGCTCAACTTCTCTTTCCACCCAATCCTGATTCTTTTCCTTCCCTTCTAGCTCCAATATATGCCC